AAAGAACGAAAAATTCAAAGGGGGGTGAATAATTCTGACTTCAACTGTATATGGACAGGCAAAACGCATGGAAAGTGAAACCACTAATCTCGCTGATCAAAGCTGTAGGTGCATCTTAGCTCATCTTAGCTAAGAATCTTAGCCGTGCATCTTAACCACGGCTCATCTGTGAAGACTTGCAGCAAGACATAAGAGCAGAACATGGAGTTGGAGACCTTTAATGAACACAGGAATATGAATAATCCATCTGGAGCTCAGAGTCAGAGCGAGGATGAGGGAAGAGCTGAGAAACGCAGTAAGTAACAGTTTATTTAAGTGGTCTGGAAGCCTATGGCTCTTGAGCCACGTGTGGCTCTTTGACTAAAAATACGTGGCTCTCCAGCGGTCTCCCTTCAATAATATTTTGCTGTTTAAATAATGATAACCGTCACTAGAAATCAGTTTCCTGTTGAAAATACATTTACCATCGCCTCGTTATTGTAACATTTGCAGGAAAATGAATAAAAACTCAGCTTATAAAACGTGACATTTGGAACTATGCATGTTTGCGGCGCTGTGAATAAACTAGCGTTTTTATAATAACTGCGCGTGCACGTAAATTCAAACAACATTCATGAGTGCTGATGATGCCAAAAAGAAAAACATTCTGAGGAGCATTGAAAGGCTCAAAATAAGTGAGCAGAAACATTTGCTTTTATTGAAAACCCTGCTGCTCTGCTCGGTCTGATCTGCACACAACGCATGTCCTCTTGTAGAAAATCAAATGTTAGGAGACATTTTGAAACCCACCATGTAGTTGAAAGAAGGCGTGTGAGTGAGGAGCTCCAGCATGCACTGCAAACCGAACAAAAACAGCAGGGGGAGGACGAGAGTTTGGGTTATTCCGGGTTTATTCATGTTTTAAGTTGCGATAATTATTTTAATATTTCCGGCATTAACTTATGTCAGGTGATTACCTGCATGTGTGTGTGTGTGTGTGTGTGTGTGTGTGTGTGTGTGTGCGTGTGTGTGTGTGTGTGTGTGTGTGGCACACACTGTTACTCCCCTTCGAGATGAAACAAAGGCTCAAGCTGTTCTTGATTTTAACTGACATTTATTTGGACATGAGTCTGTGGTGTCTTGTAAATTCTAGCCTTGCACTACTTTATGTCCCAATAATGCTGTCAGATCTATGAAAAGAAATACATAAACTTCAATTAACCCTTTAAAGGTGATGTTGCACGAAATGAACAACATACAAACAACTAAAAGATAAAGTGCACATTCAACATGTAAAGAAATACACTTGATTGGCTAATTATAGATTAACATACGGACAAATTATCATACATGTTCACATACGTTAACACCATATGACACATACCTCATTGGCCTCTCTAACTCAAGAGGAATAAACTTGAAGGGTTGCAGTTTCTCTTAAACAAACTTCTTTGCACTTCTTAATCCTTAAAAACGTGTTTTAGCACAGCACCTTGTGGCTGTACCACTTGTAGTGCAATGGAAGTATATCTTGATTGCAACAATGAAATAAATCCCAAGCTAAACATAGCAAGAAAAGGTTCCCCCTCCCCCTTATATTTTTAGTTAAATAACTTTAAATTAATTAACATGCATTAACAACAAATATACATTACTTATTTATTCTAATGATTACTCTGAACATTTTAACTATTCATTGACCTTTTTAATGTAAAGTGTATGTTTATAGAGTGTAATATAAGAATTGCTTCTGACAGCAGCTACACACACAGTGTCTCAGTCTTTTCAGCAGACAGTTTTATACCCAATTAACCTAACATGCCTAATTACCCTAGTGAAGCCTTTAAATGTCACTGTAAGCTGTATAGAAGTGTCTTGAAGAATATCTAGTCTAATATTATTTACCGTCATCATGACAAAGAGAAAATAAATCAGTTATTAGAGATGAGTTATTAACACTATTATGATCAGAAATGTGTTGAGGAAATCTGCTCTCTGTTACAGAAATTGGGGGAAAAATAAACAGGGGGCGAATAATTCTGACTTCAACTGTACACCCCACCACCACCAAAAGTTACCCCCTTGTGAAAGGCTATATCTGTATCTGCAGTCAGTGTGTGTGAGAGTGGCTTTAGATGTCAGAGTTATGTTTTGTAATTTGATTTATGGAGTTCTAGCTATCTTAAAGCATCTTTCAGCATTATTCCCTCAGTAAAACTATGCAGTAATTTAGAACTGTTTTAACATCTCGTCTACATCAAATTTAAAAAGCCATGTCTTATGAAGATTGATGTGTCTGATATTGGTGTGTTTGTCAGGAAGCAGATATTTGCTGATAATGACGGTGAGTCTCGGGCTCCTCTGTGTTCTTCTGCTGGTCATCATCATACTGCAGCACTTCATCATCATACCAGAGCGAAACATGAAGAAGTGCACAGATGAAGATCTGCAGCGCACACAATTCTGCTTACCTGGACATCACCCTCCACCACTGAGACAAGAACCCACCACTAAGACTACTGCAAAACCCTCCACCAAAGCTTCTAAACAAGGTTAGCACAGCATCTGGAGTATTCTTGAGCTAAACTTGTGCAGCTTAATGAAATGTGCTTTGTGTGTTTGGTTAAAGGGGAGAGTGGGGTAAGATGAGCCAGTGTGTAAATGGACTCATCCACTGCATCTAGACAACCATTTACATGTATTGTCATTTGACAACTTTCATCATGCACCATGTTATTTCTGCAGGACCGTGAAAAGAAGCACGTGGGATCAGGATTCTCATCAGTGACAACAGTTTTAGTCTCCTCAAAGTCAAATTTTAGCATGTCTGAAGTCATCCAAACAAATATATCAAGTGAAGTTTATTTATAAACTATTTTCGAGAGGATCACGTGCTTATGATTGACCACAAATGGTCCTGCATTAGCAACACAGGATTCACCAATCGAATAATTCCTAACTCACTATAAATAATCAAAGTTTCTTACTTTAGTCATCTTCATGGTGAAGAATGCACCCTTCTACTCCTCCCTTGACAGGGCGGCACAGTAGCCCAGTGGTTAGCACAGTTGCCTCACAGCAAGAATGTCATTGCTGCAAAATCCTTACTTGGTCAGTTGGTGTTTCTGTGTGAAGTTTTGCATGTTCTCCTCATGCTCACATGGGTTTCCCCTGGGTTCCCCAGTTTCCTCACACAGTCTAAAGACATGTGACGTAGGTGAATAGACCAAACCATAATGGCACCATTGATGAGCTCTTAATCAGCAATTCATAATTGACATTAGCCATATAATAAGCGCAGAGTTCTCGAGATCTACCTGAGCTTAAGCTCCGCTCTCGCCTTACAAACAGGAGGGAGCCCAGGACTCGAGGATAATATGAGCTCAGGGCTCTCTCCTGGGACAGAATGCCAGACACAATTTATAATCAGTCATCAGTCTACAAATATTCCCCAAGCCTTGATTACTACTTTCGTGTGCCTTCAAATGGGCTGGTAGTTGGAGAATGTTCAACTCTTGGGTAAAATCAAAAACTGCAGGGCTGCAGAAGAGATCTCTGGAGCATTTCTGGAAGATAGCCGACATTTTTAGCTTACCTGTTGTCTCAGATCAGGATACATTTTAATTTGCAGCCACATAGGCGTTTTATTTTTAACTAATTAGCCATGTTTAAAACCACTTCCTAATGCCTTATCATCATTTAAATACAGAGGAAAACATCCTGAAATTAAGTTAAATGCTCTTTCCGACTGGAGCAATATTCAATTCAATTCAATTCAGCTTTATTTGTATAGCGCTTTTACAATGTAGATTGTGTCAAAGCAGCTTCACATAAATGGTCATAGGTAGGTCAATATTCGTTCCTCTTTTAGATTAATTAAGTTATTTAGTCTTTTCAGGGCTAATTTATTTTCTGTTTTGGAAACAACTTAAATGTTATTAATATTGGTCCCAATTTAAATGTTTATTGTTTTTTGTATATAAATTTGTTTGTATTTTCGATTATATGTTTTGTTGATTTAGGATTTATGCTGTGTTCACACCAGACGTGGAACGCGTGGATAAATTGCGCTATTCACGCTTAAATAGCCACGTGAACATTTGAGGTTACTCGCTTCATTCGTGTGTCGAATTCACTTCAGAACAGATGCGGATTTCTAACCCTTCCCAAATGGCACACTATACACTATGCACTCATGCACTATGTACTTATGCACTTACACACTCAACAGGATAGTATATGTATGTAGTGGCGTCCCAAATGGCACACTAATGTTTTTTTATTAAGCGGAAACTCAAACCGTTTCCCTGATGACGTTTGACGGTTGCCAAATCAGTGAAATAAACAACCGAATTATGAAATAATACCTGCCGTGAGTATTACCGCATTCACCATCGGGAGGCGCTATAATCACTCTCGTAGGAGAATTTTGCTTTCATCATCCAAAATAAATAAAGTTATTCAACATGTGCGTCCGATAGCTCCGCCCCTTCCGCTACGTAAGCAAACCTGTGGTCGTTGAGTGTGTGAAGTGTCCATCTTTACACACTTCATTTTAGCGGCTGAATGAGTGCATCATCCGGGTAATTAAAGTGCACTTATTATTTTTATAGTTTTCAGTGTGAACACACTACTTACACTATTTATACTACAAAATGGCATAGAATAGTGCATAAGTATGCGATTTGAGATGCAGCTAGGGCTTCTGTCTGCCTGGTGACTTTAGCTTCATTGCTAAATGGCTAACATGGATTTTAAGAAGAAAATAACAGTGTTTATGTGCTTTATGAAGACTGAAAAACAGCGTCGATAAGTTTATGGCCTTGTCTGAGTGCACTAGATCCTTTCAGAGGTGCATCCAGCTCTGTGAGCTCTTAAACTCCTCCAGAAACTGAACCTGGATGATGGAGGCTTTCAATGGTGCTTCTGACTGAGCCCAGCCCAGATTGATGCGCGTATCACGCCGCATGATGTCTACTTGCGCATTTGCATTGACTTAACATGAAAATCACTCGCGCTTCACACGCATTCCACATCTGGTGTTAACGCAGCATTAGACTGTGGGAAGTGTTTCAGGTGAAGTTTGTTTGTTTTGTTAGTCATGTGTTTATGACATGTTGTACATGTGTTTGATTTATGTACTTCTTACGGACCTCCTCGTAAATGAGATTGTTCATCTCAAGTGGTTATCACATTCAATAAATACATTCAGATTTCCTCTTATCATGAGCAGCACATTAGTAAAAAATGTCCCATCTCACCCCACTCTCCCCTTGGTGTGCTTTAGATGAGTTTTTCTCCTCCATGGACTCCAAAAACTGGTCTGAAAGCAGACAGTACTGCAGAGACCGCGGTGAGGATCTGCTCATCATTAAGAGTGAAGAGAAGCAGGTGAGTTTGTAAGAGAAATAAACATCATATTGTCATGTTTCTATACCACCTGAATAGACAGATCTCCCATACTATATATTACCACATTTACCAGGCTAATATAATGTGTTATCAACTTACAATAGAAAGCGTAGCTGGTTATTCACAAAACCTGAGCAGTGTCCGGTTCTTCTTGAGGCTTGATGAGGAGAAGCATTCAGGTTTAGATTATATATGCTATTCAAGAAAGACGTAAGTTTCAGACTTGTTAAACACTGTTAAATCCATTACCATCTATAACGGTTTCACTTTAATAAACAAACTCAAGAATAAGAACTTTTTATAAACAGGATTAGGTCTTCATTTCTAGCGTTAATACTATTAACTGGTTTAGCTGTAAATCCCTTCTTCCGCCGCTGAAACTCATAGTTGTTCTTTGTTTAAAAAAAAAAAAAAGCACCCAGTTTGTGCTTTTGGCTCGGCTATTGTTGCTACTACTTCTTAGTGACTAATTCAGTTTATATTTATTTGTCTAGCGCTTTTACAATGTAGATTGTGTCACAGCAGCTGAACACAGAAGATTATAGTAGACTGAAACTGTGTCAGTCCAGATTTCAGAGCTGAAGTTCAGTTCAGTGTGGTTTATTCTTCACTGCTGAGAGTCCAAACACTGAAGAGCAAATCCATCCATGCACAGAAACACAAGTCCTGAACCAAGCAGGCTAATGGTGACAGTGGAGGAACAAACGTCACCAATTGACCAAAGTGAAGGAGAGAAAAAACCTGGAGAGAAACCAGGCTCAGTTGGGGATCCATATCAATTATGAGGAGCTTTTTCATCTACTTGTTGACTAGTGCACCTTAATCTTGCTGTTTTTTATTAAAATATCACATGCACATATTTCACCTAGCATCCTTGCATTATGAGCACTTCCATTGCATACACAAGCATTGCATACAGATATGAATCAAATAGCAACAGTTGCTTTCTCTTTTTCTGGCTACAGGATGTATTTTGTTCTACACTCATACAGCCGCTGTTGAGGACTTTAATTTCATGCCCCATCTTCATCTGTTCAATCATTTAATGGGTGTTAAAATTAATAATTTTTCCGAAGCATCATGATGAAGGCACAGACGATTCGGTATCGGTTCAGCAACTGGTTTTAGCGTAATGATGTCATTTACTGCATATGATCTGTGTAATGAATTAAGTTCAGGACAAGCTTATCTTCAGCCTGATGTGAAAAAAAGAACCGCCTGAATATACTTTATCCCGTTTATTACATGATTACCTGCCACAAAACATAAAAACTAGAGTCAAAAAATTGTTCTAAACTGTAGAAGTCTTTTAATCTTTTAATTCTTTTAGTCTTTTAATTCTTTAATTAAAGACAAAACTGGCAGTAATGAAAACTGCTGATAGAAAATACACTAAACTGTGCATTATTCAGACTTGAGATGGAGACAGTCAAAAACACAAAGCTAACAGAAACTAAAACAGCTGATGGGGTATACACTATGCTGTGCATTATCCAGTCACTAGATGGAGACAATCTAAAACAGCTGATGGAGTATACACTAACCTGCGCATTATTCACACACTAGATGAAGGCAAACAGTCAAAAACACAACAGAAACTAAAACAGCTGATGGAGTATACACTAACCTGCGCATTATTCAGACACTAGATGAAGGCAAACAGTCAAAAACACAACAAAAACTAAAACAGCTGATGGAGTATACACTAACCTGCGCATTATTCAGACACTAGATGGAGACAAACAGTCAAAAACACAACAGAAACTAAAACAGCTGATGGAGTATACACTAACCTGCTCATTATTCAGACACTAAATGGCGCCAATCAGTCAAAAACACAACAGAAACTAAAACAGCTGATGGAGTATACACTAACCTGTGCATTATTCAGACACTAGATGAAGACAAACAGTCAAAAACACAACAGAAACTAAAACAGCTGATGGAGTATACACTAACCTGTGCATTATTCACACACTAGATGAAGACAAACAGTCAAAAACACAAAAGAAACTAAAACAGCTGATGGAGTACACACTAACCTGCTCATTATTCAGACACTAGATGAAGACAAACAGTCAAAAACACAACAGAAACTAAAACAGCTGATGGAGTATACACTAACCTGCGCATTATTCAGACACTAGATGGAGACAAACAGTCAAAAACACAACAAAAACTAAAACAGCTGATGGAGTACACACTAACCTGCTCATTATTCAGACACTAGATGAAGACAAACAGTCAAAAACACAACAGAAACTAAAACAGCTGATGGAGTATACACTAACCTGCGCATTATTCAGACACTAGATGAAGACAAACAGTCAAAAACACAACAGAAACTAAAACAGCTAATGGAGTACACACTTACCTGTGCATTATTCATACACTAGATGAAGACAAACAGTCAAAAACACAACAAAAACTAAAACAGCTGCTGGAGTATACACTAACCTGCGCATTATTCAGACACTAGATGAAGACAAACAGTCAAAAACACAACAAAAACTAAAACAGCTGATGGAGTATACACTAACCTGCGCATTATTCAGACACTAGATGGCGCCAATCAGTCAAAAACACAACAGAAACTAAAACAGCTGATGGAGTATACACTAACCTGCGCATTATTTACACACTAGATGAAGACAAACAGTCAAAAACACAACAGAAACTAAAACAGCTGATGGAGTATACACTAACCTGCACATTATTCAGACACTAGATGAAGACAAACAGTCAAAAACACAACAGAAACTAAAACAGCTGATGGAGTATACACTAACCTGTGCATTATTCAGACACTAGATGAAGACAAACAGTCAAAAACACAACAGAAACTAAAACAGCTGATGGAGTATACACTAACCTGCACATTATTCAGACACTAGATGAAGACAATCAGTCAAAAACACAACAGAAACTAAAACAGCTGATGGAGTATACACTAACCTGCGCATTATTCAGACACTAGATGAAGACAAACAGTCAAAAACACAACAGAAACTAAAACAGCTGATGGAGTATACACTAACCTGCGCATTATTCAGACACTAGATGAAGACAAACAGTTAAAAACACAACAGAAACTAAAACAGCTGATGGGGTATACACTAACCTGCTCATTATTCAGACACTAAATGGAGACAAACAGTCAAAGACACAACAGAAACTAAAACAGCTGATGGGGTATACACTAACCTGTGCATTATTCAGACACTAGATGGCGCCAATCAGTCAAAAACACAACAGAAACTAAATCAGCTGATGGAGTATACACTAACCTGTGCATTATTCACACACTAGATGAAGACAAACAGTCAAAAACACAACAGAAACTAAAACAGCTGATGGAGTATACACTAACCTGCGCATTATTCAGACACTAGATGAAGACAAACAGTCAAAAACACAACAGAAACTAAAACAGCTGATGGAGTATACACTAACCTGCGCATTATTCAGACACTAGATGAAGACAAACAGTCAAAAACACAACAGACACTAAAACAGCTGATGGAGTATACACTAACCTGCGCATTATTCAGACACTAGATGGAGACAAACAGTCAAAAACACAACAGACACTAAAACAGCTGATGGAGTATACACTAACCTGCGCATTATTCAGACACTAGATGGAGACAAACAGTCAAACACAACAGAAACTAAAACAGCTGATGGAGTATACACTAACCTGCGCATTATTCAGACACTAGATGAAGGCAAACAGTCAAAAACACAACAGACACTAAAACAGCTGATGGAGTATACACTAACCTGCGCATTATTCAGACACTTGATGAAGACAAACAGTCAAAAAAACAACAGAAACTAAAACAGCTGATGGAGTATACACTAACCTGCGCATTATTCAGACACTAGATGAAGACAAACAGTCAAAAAAACAACAGAAACTAAAACAGCTGATGGAGTATACACTAACCTGTGCATTACTCACACACTAGATGGAGACAAAAAGTCAAAAACACAACAAACACTAAAACAGCGGATGGAGTATACACTAACCTGTGCATTACTCACACACTAGATGGAGACAAACAGTCAAACACAACAGAAACTAAAACAGCTGATGGAGTATACACTAACCTGCGCATTATTCAGACACTAGATGAAGGCAAACAGTCAAAAACACAACAGACACTAAAACAGCTGATGGAGTATACACTAACCTGCGCATTATTCAGACACTTGATGAAGACAAACAGTCAAAAAAACAACAGAAACTAAAACAGCTGATGGAGTATACACTAACCTGCGCATTATTCAGACACTAGATGAAGACAAACAGTCAAAAAAACAACAGAAACTAAAACAGCTGATGGAGTATACACTAACCTGTGCATTACTCACACACTAGATGGAGACAAAAAGTCAAAAACACAACAAACACTAAAACAGCTGATGGAGTATACACTAACCTGCGCATTATTCAGACACTAGATGGAGACAAACAGTCAAACACAACAGAAACTAAAACAGCTGATGGAGTATACACTAACCTGCACATTATTCACACACTAGATGAAGGCAAACAGTCAAAAACACAACAGAAACTAAAACAGCTGATGGAGTATACACTAACCTGCGCATTATTCAGACACTAGATGAAGACAAACAGTCAAAAACACAACAGAAACTAAAACAGCTGATGGAGTATACACTAACCTGCGCATTATTCAGACACTAGATGAAGACAAACAGTCAAAAACACAACAGACACTAAAACAGCTGATGGAGTATACACTAACCTGCGCATTATTCAGACACTAGATGAAGGCAAACAGTCAAAAACACAACAGAAACTAAAACAGCTGATGGAGTATACACTAACCTGCGCATTATTCAGACACTAGATGAAGACAAACAGTCAAAAACACAACAGAAACTAAAACAGCTGATGGAGTATACACTAACCTGCGCATTATTCAGACACTAGATGAAGACAAACAGTCAAAAACACAACAGAAACTAAAACAGCTGATGGAGTATACACTAACCTGCGCATTATTCAGACACTAGATGAAGACAAACAGTCAAAAACACAACAGACACTAAAACAGCTGATGGAGTATACACTAACCTGCACATTATTCAGACACTAGATGGAGACAAACAGTCAAAAACACAACAGAAACTAAAACAGCTGATGGAGTATACACTAACCTGCGCATTATTCACACACTAGATGGAGACAAACAGTCAAAAACACAAAGCTGACAGAAATAAGTAACCTACTATAATCGCCAGATGAGTCAGTTTAATTGGTTTCAGTGGTTGTTATCTGGAAATAACACACCTTGAATTCTGTGAATGACCAATCAGAATCAGGTATTCAGGAGGGCCGCGTAATAAGTTGCATTAACATACTTTGGCATCCTACACAAATCCATGTTCAGGCTTGTTTTGCCTGACAAGCTTTTGGCTAAATTTACTCATGCTATGAAAACAACATGTGAGGTGAGCCTTACAGCTACAATTTTACAGACATTATTTTAAAGTCTAAATTAAGCATATATGGTGCTACTTCTTTTATCAACTTTTGTTTTCTTATTTATTTTTCTAGATAGTCAAGTAACGCTGTTAAATACTTTTTTAATGACAGCTTCCAGATGAGCTCGAGGTTGTTTTCTCTGACTCCTTTTCTCTTTCTTCTTCTGTTACTCATCAGATCATCCATGTTGATTTCTTCTGGTTGATTAGGTCGACAGTTGATCAACTGGTTGACACTATCAGTTGGGTCTCTGGTGCATGAAAGACAATAATAGTACTCCTGATTTTATTTACACAGAGACGTGTAACCTCATTCATCACAGAGAAGGTGAAAATGCCTGTGTGGCTTGGGTTGACTGATGCCGAGATCGAGGGCAACATGATATGGGTGGATAATTCACCACTGAATGAAGGGTAAGTGCTGGTAGGACATTTTATTCCACGTTAATAAGTAAAATAATTGTTTGAAAGATTCAGTATTTTAGCTGCATTTACTGTTTATATGTGCTATAGAGATGAAGCACATCTGCTGGTACAATAGTGCAACTGCAACAAGTATAAGAGACAGTGAAACCTGATATATTCATTACCTCATTCATTACAAATAATTAAGCGTGGTGTTAGATTAAATCAGTATAGCTCACTGGTTATCAATTTATATATTATGCTCATGTGTGTTGCTACCGCCTGCACTCTAAACTGCGAAAAACATCCAGAAATTAGCAGTTTTCTCTATATATGATTAATGTTTTTATTTATTATTTTTTTTTGTTTATTCCTGCTTTTCAACTACATTATAGGATCTTGATCTTTTCTCCAACAACTTTTAACCTTGAAAAGTGTGAAAAAGTGACTTTTCTGAACATGTGTAAGTTTGCAGTGCTATATTGTCTGGGTAGGTGTTGTGTTCTCACCGGCCACTTTATTAGGTACACCTCACTAGTACCGGGTTGGACCCCATTTTGCCTTCAGAACTGCCTTAAGCCTTGGTGGCGGAGATTCAACAAGCTACTGGAAATATTGCTTAGAGCTTTTGCTCCATATTGACATTATAGCATCACACAGTTGCTGCAGATTTGTCGGCTGCACATCCATGATGCCAATCTCCCGTTCCACCACATCCCAAAGCTGCTCTATTGGATTGGGCTCTGGTGACTGTGGAGGCCATTTGAGTACAGTGAACTCATCGTCATGTTCAAGAAACCAGTCTGAGATGATTGAGCTTTATGACATGCTGCGTTATCCTGCTGGAAGTAGCCATCAGAAGATGGAGACACTGTGCTCATAAAGGGATGGACATGGTCAGCAGCAATACTCAGGTAGGCTGTGGCGTTGATGCTCAATTGGTACTAATGGACCCAAAGAAAATCTCCCCCACACCATTACACCACCACCACCAGCCTGAACCGCTGATACAAGGCAGGATGATCCATGCTTTTATGTTGTTGAGTCGAGCATCCGAATGTGTCAGCAGAAATGGAGACTCATCAGAGCAGCAACGTTTCTCCAATCTTCTATTGTCCAGTTTTGGTGAGTCTGTGTGAATTGTAGCCTCAGTTTCCTGTTCTTAGCTGACAGGAGCGGCACCCGGTGTGCTCTTCTGCTGCTGTAGCCCATCCGCCTCAAGGTTGGACGTGTTGTGTGTTCAGAGATGCTCTTCTGCAGAGCTCGGTTGTAACGAGTGCTTATTTGAGTGACTGTTGCCTTTCTATCAGCTGGAGCCAGTCTGGCCATTCTCCTCTGACCTCTGGCCTCATCAACAAGGCATCTGCGCCCACAGAATATTTCGTCTTTGTCTTTGTGCGTGAAAATTTGCCATATCGCACTGCTACAAGTGTGATATTGTGTTTAAACAACAGTTGGACAACATAATTGTGTGTATAAAAAAGAAAATCAAAGATGGACAGTCTCAAATCCTTTTGTATGAGGAACTACTTTCTTCCGCTATTCATTCACATCTGCAGCTGACGTCAGAAAAGCAGAATCAGCTGATCAGCATGATAAGTAATCAGTCTACAGAGATTTAGCAGTATTTCTCTGTTGTAATCAGGAGATCACAATAAATAACCCCCCAAAAAGCTACCAGAATCACTACCAGACTAGGGTACAACATGAATATGGCATATGCAGCACTACACCATACAAAAGAGAGAGAGATTAACTTAGAATGCCACTCACCTGTTCATTAATTATTTGATCAGCTGTCGTTTTCTCCCCCTAGGACTTATTATGTGGTCTCTGTCGCCATCTTGTGGTGGAATGTCAACTGTCTTTGCCCTGCTCAGTATGACAGGCTAATGGATGATGATGTGTGGAATCTTTGAAATTATAAATATTAATAATAGGCACTATCCTTATGAATAATCTGCATAATTGCTATCTAAACAACTACAATCTCGACTAAAAAAAGCCTCAAAAGAACATGATGTTGTCCAACAGCTGCAATATTTGTCACACTGTAGTGAGGTTATTGTTCTGCTGTCAGTCTGTAAGCGGAGTAATACACATGGGTGAAGAGGCTGTACGAGTGCTGTTATTGCAGCTATCAGCCAATCAGATTCTGCTCATATCAAGCATTGATCTCCCAGTATGTATATCTATGCTGAGTAAACACATGGTATAGTCTCATTTTTCCATGACACTTTTGTTTTATTTGACACTTTTACACATTTTACTCTACGACTTCCTGGTGTCAAGTCGAAGTGAATAATAGAAGTGTTCATCTTGATGAAATTTTTTTTTTTTCATTATTTTCAGGTTTTGGATGAGAGGTGAGCCGACTAACAATGATGGAATTGAGGATTGTGTATTCATGAATGCAATATCTTCTCCGAACTGGAATGATGTCCCCTGCTTCATTTGTGAATGAAAGAGTTGTTCTTTATTCATTCATTCATTCATTCAATGTTGTCAGCTCAGTTCATCATATATACGCTGCTGTCTTGTCATTTATTTTGTGAGCTAATGCTAATAAAAAGGAGGCATGTCTATCCACATTCACTCTCTGGACTATTATTCCCTGAATCATCAAGCCCTGATTTTATGAGCGTTACTCCACATACTAGCGGTAGATCACGTTTAGTCTGTTTTAGGCTGTATTAGTGTGCACAGAGATAGTTTTTCACAGCAAAGATGTCATTTGCCATTAGTAGAATAAAAATAAAGAAAAATACACGAGATGTTCTTACACCAGACCCAATGTTATCTGGATGCAGACTTGCACATGCAATCTTAGACATGCAGTCTCAGACATATGATCTCAATAGAGTTAGTGATGTCTCTCTGAGGGGCAGGGATATGCGTACTCATTAAAATCATTGCATGAAGTCTCAGCTTTCATCTGCGGTCTGCAGCCAGTGGCTCTATTCTCAATATAAGACGACTGACACAACATCAAGATGACACATCTCTTCCTCACATCATACAGTAAGTACAGTGATTTCTGCTTCTTCATCATTGTTTTATTGTTCTTAAATAAAGCATTGCTGCCATATCCTGTCAGAATGGATCAGAGACTCACAACCTTACTCCACAGACCTTTCTGCACTCACACATTAAGGAATATTTGGTAATAATAAGAACCTTTAAATATAGTATGAATTAAACAACATTCTGTCGCCTCCTCCTGGATTCTAAAGCTCTTTTAATGTTTACTGATGATCACCATTCTTTAGCTTGGAAAGTGATTTGATGAGACGCCTTTCTTAAACAGCACCTATTATGCAGAGATTACTCTTATGCGGGTTTTAAACCCAGTAATGTGTGTGTGTCAGCAGTGTGTGAGTATCTCCAGCAGCCTCTGATGCTCAACATGAGTGAATTGTGTTTGTTATAATCAGACTTGATGCTGAAACACTTTGATTGACATTCTCCCTTTGTATGATGTTATCAGAGGGGGAAAGCCCCGCCCACTAGTGCCCATCTCTCCATCTCATTAGCATCTCCAGCAGCCCTGAGTGAGAAGCAGCCGTCTGTCCATTAGCCATTAGAGTGTTTGAACTGCTGAAGATAACGTAAAAGCCTAAAAGGCTCAGATTCAGACAGATTTAAACCATTGTTTGTCAAAAATGGGAAGTTTGTCTAGATTTATCTACCCTGCCTTCACTTTGACAACTTCCACCTGAATGACTAAAGCTATCAACAAATTAAGTTTTGGATTTATTTGGAGAAACAAATAGCATTACATTAGAAATAAATGATTTTGATTTGGTGGTTTGAAATTAAAATGGTCACAATAATTTGTTTAGAATGGTCACGCTTTTTGCTGCATTCAATGCCATATTTAAAAAGAATTAGGTGGACTAAATGTCTTTCTGTGTTGTGATATTAAGTGTTTTGTGTTGCCAACACTTTCCAACTTCTTGATTTCCACCAGCAGGTGTTGCTTTATTGGAAAATACAGTTCAAGCATAATGTAACTCCCAAAACACTCCAGCTTGGAAAATAGATATGTAAATATTAGTAGAAAGTCAGTATTTTTGAGGAGTGGAAATCTGATGGGATTTGGGCTGGATGATAATGGTGTTTTGCTACAGCATGGAGAGTTTTGTAGGAAATTTCATCTGCATTGTACTGCAAACCTTTATAACAAAATCATTAAGGCCTTTCCAGTAGATAAGGTCATTAATTAAAGGCAGGGCTTGACATTAACATCCGCCAAATGCGGGTAGATTTCAGCTGTAGCAGGTTAGACAGACACCACACTAGCCACTTTGGCTGGTTGAAAATAATGTTTAAATTGCCAGAGCTGCCTCATCCCTCAAGTTTAGAATGTTAGTTTAAGAGAGTTTGTCAATGTGCGTGCAAAAGTGAAATGTGAATGGAGAAGCAGCATGATTGATAACTTTACGCAAAAGCAAAAGAAAACAGGACACTGAATGACAGCATGATCAGGCGATTCACTATCACTCACAGAATGTTTTTCACCTGCGCTTTCTTTAGCTTAGTTATTTGTGTTAATATAGTTTAATTAACATCCTTTACAGTAAAATTGCTTTAATAGGAGATTAACTCTCTATTTTGTCATCAGTTACCTGATGATCTGGGACCTTTAGCATGGACCGACTACTGTGTGTAGATTTAGATACATGAGAAATTTTTTTAAAATATCAATTGTTTTTACGAACATTTTTGATGAATTTAAGATGTACACAGCTATATTTAGCTTGTTTTGACACATTATTTAAAATTTGTGGCACGGAAATAATTTGGTGTGGCCAGGGGGAAATAATGGTAAATCCTTAGTGTTGAGCCCTAAAAACAGATAAATTAATTAGGAGGCATGTGGACATAGCACAAAATGTAAAAAATGTTAGCATGCCAAAGTAAAATTTATGCATATAAAATATATTTCCCAACAACAAAAGTGTGGCTAGTGAAAATGGTGAGTGGCTAGTAACGTTGGAAAACTACAAGTCACAGTGGCTGGTGATCAAAAAAGTTAATGTCAAGCCCTGATTAAAGGATATATTGTATTTTTCTCATCCTTTACAGAATTTAGGAAAAGCTTTTCTAAAATAATTAGGAATTTAATTTTACACAGACAATTTCTAAATCCATTTACAAGAGAATTCCGGCAACAAATATGTTGACAATGTTGAAATTAAAAGAATCAGGAAAGACGTATTTGTCTTGTCTTTCTCCTTCTAAATTAAAAGAGGAGAGCTTCAGATTTTTATATGAAATATGTCCTTCCAGCAAGTCTTTAAGATTGAAATTCTACTTTGATGTTAATAACAATTTGTTTGTTTGTATGTTTGTTTGTTTGTTTGTTTGTTTGTGAAAAGATGTGGAGAGTTTGGAGCATGGTTTTTTATATATCTGACATGGTGCTTCCCTTTTGCTCAGAGGTACAGACGTGATTATGATCAAGGAAAATAAATTTCCCCCCATCACTGTAAAGACAGTTACCTTTGTTATCTTCCTTGACAGAAAATTTTATTTAAATTTTAATCTTCTGCATTTCTTCATTCACAAATGTAGATGGTTTAAATACATCTAACTTTAAGCAGTGGTTGAATGAGGTAAAACTTGTTTCGTAAAACTCCTGAAAGATAAAAAGTCCTTTAAGATTATTCATTAGATAATTTCTTATTTCTTCTCTTCTCTAAGCTATTTTATTTTTCAAAGCCCCTTATGTTTTATTTATTTTATTGTAATTATTTATACTTTTTTCTCTTTTATAATTGTTTCCTACAATAAAAATCAAGACATTAATTCATATAATATTGTATGTATGAACGATTTTGTCTGTATGTTCAGTTTAAAACAATAAAAAGCTGTTGATGATCATGTCTGCCTGCCCTGTTAAACGTGCCACTGCTGTAATGCTTTGCGGAGTGTTTGCTCCCCCTGCTGGTGACCACTGTTAATGCTGATAGGAAAAGCTTCTAGGTTGAAATGGAGCTGCGGTTTTATTCATCTCATTTTTAAATAACCAATGTGCAATATGTTTTATTATTTTCTTTCGATTATAATTTTTTTTTCATGTTGTAGTAGAAATGATGCATTAAAAACTTGTTTTCGTTCATTTAAAAATAGATATGGATTAATGGGAACGCCCTGTTTGATAGCCTCGTTTAATGCATGATTATTATTTATATACTATTTGGATAGCTGTTTTTGTTTGTTTGGTTTTGCAATGATAACAAAACAGCTACGATAAATACAAAGCAAATAAAGAGAATGAATAAACCGTGCACAGATTACTTTTTATAAGGGGGAAATTAGGGAATTGTAAAATAAGATTAAATAAATAATAAAAGTAAAGAGAGAAAAAGACATAAGAAACAAGATGGCACAAGGAAATAAATACAAACTAAGCATAGGCTGTTAATGCGTAAATTATGTTTCATAATTCTATAGAATTGTTGACTTAGCTTACACTAAATTATTTCAAACCAGCAAAATCATCTGCGGCAGTCATCACCAAAAACTGTTTTCATGATTAACTTCAACTTTTTAAATAGTCATAGAGGTTAAAATGCGCTATACAATATTACAATTCAATCCTAGGTAATGTTGTTAAATCTGAAACTGAAAGACCGTCAGGATAACCTGTTTGAACACAAGGTGCTCAGACACTCCACCTACTCGTTTAACTCAGCAGGAAGAGACTCTCTTCTCCTTTCTCGGAAAATACCGTGAAATAATCAGCGACCTGCGGAGATCCGAAAGGCAGCCTGCACCTTTTAATATAATTTTTGAGTCATTTCTTTCTAAACAGCAGATAATAATCGTTCTTAAAGTCGTTCGTTTTCGGCAGTCATCCAGAAAGTGAAAGCAAAGTTAACATGGCGGAAGCTTTACGTGAGGAAATGGATTCTCTGTCTGTGCAGGAGCTGTCGTGTCCCGTGTGCACTGAATCTTTCAGAAGCCCGGTTATGTTATCGTGCGGTCACAGTTTCTGTAAAGAGTGTCTTCAGCGGTTCTGGAGAATCAAGGGCACTCAGGAGTGTCCAGTGTGCAGGAGGAGATCCTCCAAAGAAGATCCTCCATATAATTTCACGTTACAAAACCTGTGCGAGGCGTATAAGCGACATTCGTCAAGATCAGAGGAGATGTGCAGTTTACACGGAGAGAAGTTCAAACTCTTCTGTCTGGAGGATAATCAGCCTGTGTGTGTGGTGTGCAGAGACTCACAGATACACACTAACCACACATTCAGACCCATCGATGAAGCAGCTGCAGCCTGCAAGGTAAATCAGATATCTGACAAGTAAACGTCACTATACATTTCTCACACTGATATAAACATGCTTGAAGTTTTAGGGGTGTTTAGGCTTTTATTTCTAAAACTGGCATATTGGTTTGACTCTGGGCGTTTAATATTGTCAAATTTAGGGACCGTCTATAAAGTTACACACAGCATCGGTGTACACTTGTCTAACTTCAGTAGTGTTTGAAGAGAATGACTTTATACCAACTTTTAATAATAACAATTCGCTTTTGAGTTATTCAGTTCTGAAGAAAAAAACTAGCCATTTTAACTTATTAACAGTTTATTTTAATGAATATAAAAATGTAAAAGATGTTCATTAAAGAAATGTAACTAAACTCTTTACGATTGGTCTTAAATCAAATCAAATCACTTTTATTGTCACATCATCAGCAGCTATGATGAGTGAAAAGCATAGATTTAGTCATTCTTTTTCATACGCTATTATTAATTAATCTTTTAATGATAATTATATTTACACTCCCAGAAATAAAGGTACAAAATCTGTCACTGACAGGTCCTTAAAGGTACATACTAATACCTAAAAAGTACAAAATGTACCACACAGTATCTTAAAGGTATAAAAAGGTACCCTAAAGGTACTAATGTCCACCTGTATAGTACAAAAGTGTACCATTTTAAAAAGGTACCATCCCAGTGACCAGTGTTGGGCAGTAGCATCACTACCACTAGTGAAGATACTAGCTTGAGTACATTTCTCAGTAGCGTCACTACTTTATAAATACTTTCATAAATATCATTTGTTTCTGTTTAGTACAGTATTATTTACAGTAAATAACTGAACTGATCAATAAAGCCTCATTTGAGTCATTGACAGTTTTAGTGATCATTAAGATATGAATAATAATTTAAGTTGCTTCGATTTAAAAATGAAAATTGTAAAAATAGCTTAAATGTAGCTAAGATACTTCTGCAAAGTAGCTTTTAGCTAAGCTTGCTACATTTCCCAGGCACAGAACCAGCTGTGTGGTGTTTATCCGTGTGTGTACAGGCTAACACACAGCTTTTACATATTTGGTTTCTATTAAAATGAAATATCAATTATTGTCCAGCATCTAGCCAGCTTTATATGTTAGTATTTCACAGTACATTTTGCTCATCTTTTTAATGCATAAATCTGTAGTGTGTGATGTTTTCTCACTTTAAATTGTAGCATCAGCTGGACACCAAACTGAAAACCCTACAGGAGAAGCTCAAGCGCAAGGAAAACGTTAAAGAAGAGCTTGAGAGAACAGTTTTTAATGTCAAGGTGGGAGATTGATTATAATACACACATTGCAATTATACTATATTTTTGATTACAACAGATCAGTTGACTTATTTACATTATTGCATGTTCATTTCTTGACTCTGATATGGTCATCTGGTAACCCAGGATATTTTCAACGTGATGTGTTGTGTTCAGGCTCAGGCGGAGCAGACGGAGCGTCAGATCAGACTGCAGTTCCAGAAGCTCCAGCAGTTTCTCCGTGATGAAGAAGAAGCTTCAGTGTCTGCTGTGAGGAAGGAAGAGGAGCAGAAGCAGCAGATGATGAAGGAGAAGCTGGAGGAGATCAATAAACACATCTCAGATCTCTCACACGCCATCAGAGACACAGAGGAGAGCATGAGCCACAGCAGCATACGCTTTCTACAGGTCTGAAGATTGATTGAGAAGAGATTGATTGACTGATTGATTGATTGATTGATTGATAGGATTAAATGATGACATGATTGACTTGATTTATTTATTAATTGTTTGAGTTCCTGCTGATCTGTGATGTGTTTGTTCTGCAGGAGTTTCCAGTCTCGATGAAGAGGTAAATTAGTTACTTAATTCATTAATGTTGTTTTGAAAATAATATATTTTAATTAACAACAGTTGAAATTCAACCAATACAGTACTCTAAATTTGGCAATTATAAACATAAGAATGACTGAAGTTTTTGTTGTTTTTTTATTAAAGTCTCGTTCAGATTACACGGTTTTACCATTTTAAAAGCTGAACTATTAACCATGCTAGGCTGAGATGACATGGTGAGGCATCGCAGATGTGTCATTAGTTGTTGAGCACATTATGATCATGATGCCCATGTTTATTTACAAATCCCTATGACGTTGTGTAGTCTGAATGGGGCTTTAGGTTATATTTTGAATGCAGTGCTACATTTGTTGTAATCTTTTTATTTGACTCTCGACAGTCTGAGGAATTTGAAATCCATGTTTGACATTTCATTTGTTTTACATTTAATAGCTATTTTGACATGATAATTGTATGGTATTGTAAATAAGTGCAAAATATAATACTTTAAATGAACATCCTAAAATTAATAATTCTGTGAAATAAGTAGCTTCAATGTAACTATCTATTTTTAAAAAATTAACTTGTAGTGTATCAGGCTACTTATTTAGAAGTTTGACAGTAGCTGCGCTGCTTTTCTTGATGATTAGCCTGTAGATGATCTGTAAGCTCCAGCTTTAGAGCACTCTCCCCAACATTGTCAGTGTTCTTCTTCTAGATTACAGATTTCTCAGCCAGATTTATGGATGCCCGCTGGAGCTCTGATTAATGAGTCTCGATATCTGGCGAACCTGATGCTCAGAGTCTGGTGGAACACACAGGACGGTGAGTCTGGAGAACATCTGTGTTTATAATCTTCCTAAAAAAGGAGACAGAAATATTAAAGAATAGACACGAGCACTTGTGTTTCGCTCCATCTCTGTATAATAAGATAAATCAAATAACAGTGTACTTTGGCACAACTGAGGACACTAACCAACTTGCATTTAACATTGTAGCCTTTATACACACAATTTAACGCATATTATATTTACAAATAGAGATGAGCAGTACTTGACATTAACATTTATATCTACCATAGTGCACACAATAAACATGATTAAATTTATCAGTATGTCTGATTAATAACCCATTAGGAATATAGAAATTGTAGAGTAAATGGTCTCTCGTAAGAGCAGAACAAGTGTTTTACTCTGCATTACAATCTACACTCAACTAATAAGTCCTCCATTTATCACATACCATCTGAGTTATCACACAGTTAACTTGAAATTCTACAAACCAAACACAATAATGACAGCACACAATTTAGAAATGTATAAAAAATGTAAGAAATATATATTGAATATATATATATATATATATATATATATATATATATATATATATATATATATATATATATATATATATATATATATATATTTATTTATTGAAAACCTATGTTTTATTCAACTGAAAACAAAAAATCACAAAACTCACAACATGTGGGTTTCAAAATCATCTTGTACTTAATGAAATACTTCTTGATTTTGCACTAGTAAAGACAGTTTATAAAATTATAAAAATTACAGGTACCAGTAACTTGTATAATCAAAGTTGTGCTCTCTTGGAAAAAACACCTTTGCATTTTTCTTTAAGCAAAATACAGTGTACTGCATAGAACAGCTTAAGACATGTCAATGCTCTTATTTAATTTATTATTTATTTATTTTGTCAGTTCTGGCTTTATTGCTATATGATAGTATATTAAACTTTTAGTAATTGAAAATAAATTAATCACAGATTTTTAGAAAGCATTAATCTCTTTGAAAGTGAAACTTTGGGTGGTTGTAGTTATACAGGCAGGTCAAAATATTTGCTAGAAGCTTTCTTATTTTTACATTTTTATTCACAGCAATTTTTGTTTGATAATTGAGTGATTAACAGACGAATCAGGTTCCTCCTATCGAATTTTTGACTATTTGAATTCACCCCTAATTCCTACAATATTTAACAAGGTACAAATAAAGAAAAAAGGTGAAGTTCTTTTCATGAACATTTAAACTAATTTATTGTAGCCTATTTTTTTATAATTTTCTGGAATAACTCATATTGGTGAAATTTGTTATCAAAATATATTTTAATAATATCATCACTGAAGTATAGAACTTTTTTTTTTTGTTTATTGATCTTTCTATAATAATCAAAGTAGCAGATCTATGCAGACAATACCAAACACATCAACATTTCCATATACATATTATATATTAAACCCATATTATATTACCATACTAAACCCTGAGAGTGGTTATGACGGAAACGCAATAATAAATAGATTTGCTTAATACTTAGTAAAAATGCTTTTCTTAACAGAAAAAATAAACGAGTTTTAACTGAGGCTCTCTCATTCACTTCCACACACAATGCATTTACTGTTTTATTAATGATCTAGCCCTGTGTGTTAAAGTCAATGGTTGTGTGATGTGTTTAATCTTTTCACACAGTGTCAGAAAGACGGATTGTTCTTGTGGGTGGACGTGGTGCTGGGAAAACTGCATCTGCAAACACAATCCTGGGAGGGAGAGATTTCATATCTGAGAGGGGTTTAGGATCCGTGACCAGTGAATGTTCAGTTGCACAGGCCAGAGTTTTAGGCAGGTCTGTGTCTGTAGTCGACACTCCTGGATTATTAAACACAGAGATGATGGAGATCAACAGAGCTGTGAGTTTATCCAGTCCTGGACCTCACGCTTTCCTCATTGTGTTCAATGTAAATGACAGATACACTGATCAGCAGATTCCTCAGATGATGGAGAAGATATTTGGTGAAGTAGTGTTTAAATACTCCATCATTCTCTTCACTCGTGGATTTGGAGTACGTCAGAGGGAAAGCTTTCTTCAGAAGTTCACCAAAGGTTTTGTGAATAACAGAGAGCAGCTGGATGAAGAAGAGCACATAGAGGAGCTGATAGAGGAGAACAGTGCATTAAGAGGCCTAGTACGTGAGTGTGGAGGCAGATATCATCTGTTCAACAATTTAGATGTGAATAACAGATGGCAGGTGGAGAATCTACTGCAGAAGATTGACTCAATCATACAGCAGAATGGAGGAAGACACTACACTAACCAGATGTATGAAGATGCTCAGAGAGGCAGAAGAGAAGAAGAGGGAATCAGAGAAGAACTCATGGTAAAGAAACCCAAAAAACCCAAGAGTTGATAGAAGGTTTAAAACAAAAACAGGCCTTTGCCTTTAGAAGATCCTCCGGGATTATTTGACACACACAAGAAACAAAAGTTGTTAAAAAAAACTATTAAGTTACTAATAATATATCATGAGAGCAGATTTCTTCAGCACATTTCTGCACATAACAGTGTTAATAACTCATCTCTAATAACTGATTTATTTTCTCTTTGTCATGATGACAGTAAATAATATTAGACTAGATATTCTTCAAGACACTTCTATACAGCTTACAGTGACATTTAAAGGCTTCACTAGGGTAATTAGGCATGTCATTGGATAACAGCGGTTGATAAAAAAAATAACATCTTGCATGAGATGTGTGTGTGTGTGTGTGTGTGTGTGTGTGTGTGTGTGTGTGTGTGTGTGTGTGTGTGTGTGTGTGTGTGTGTGTGTGTGTGTGTGTGTGAGTAAATGATCAGCAGATGTTGACTCTTGAGGTGAACTTCAGTGATCGTGTAGTTGTCACTGATGCTGGACTGCATGTGGTGATGAGCAGAATGAAGAAGAACACTAAAGTCAACAGAGAATGATCTGACAACAGGGGTGAACTGCAGTATTTATTTCTCCACTGCTCCCCGTTCTCTCATTGTAAATCAAGTGTTTGGGGAAGAAGTGTAAAAATCCTCTATCTTTCCCCTCATTCTGAAAGAGGAGGAATAGATTCTGTGTGTTATCTTTTAATTGCATGTGTTTATAATGAGAGAGAATACTGTACTGTAAATAGAGATATCTGAAGAAAACATTCAGCTTGCTGTGGATAAACTTTAGATTGTTGTGATTGGACGGTTCAGTTAACTCTGTAAATAATAAAGAGGATAACTGTACAGCTTTAATTCCAGACCAACTATGATTTTTTATTCACTTTTCATGCCGCATTCCCTTTAAAAAATGATCTGTTTGATTTCATTGAAAGCATTTAAAATATTGTCTTCATGCACAATACACTGTACTTAAAATATGGTTTTGTGTGTTTACAAAAACTGGGCTTTTAATAAAACTATTCATAAGCATTTCTGCAGTGCTGGCTTTGTTTGTTTTGTGATGGAGTTTAGTCCTTAGATTTGAGAGAAAACTGGGAAGATTCAAGTGGAAAAACAAATGATGGCTCACTCACTAAAAAAAATGCTTTTTCTTACTTTTTTGTTTTGTTTCTAGTCCAATTACCTAAAACTCTTAAATCAAGAAGCCTTTTCTAGACAAGAATAGAATATAGTCTTGTTTTCAGTAATAATGAATTAAAATGAAGTGAGTTTCTCTATAAAACAAGAAAAAAAAATTGACAATGGTTAAAGCAAAATTATTTATGGTTTGGAATATGTATATTTTGTTCACCCCATTGGCTCACACAAGAAAACTCCAGAATGACTTGTTTGACTTTTTGAATATCATCTATGTATGAATAAAAATCCATCAGTTTATATTTCAGCACTTTTGAAATGGACAGTGGCCACTCTTTGTAGGATGTAGACTGTTACGTGCCTATTTGGGAAATACACCAGGTGTTGCAACGAATGTTTGCAGAACATACAGGAAACTCTTAAAAGCCTACATACATTGTAATGGAAAAACCTGGCCCTGTTTTTTCCTTAATATTTGACTTAAATACATCAATAGGGCTAGAAGTTAATTAGTTAATTAGTTAATTAGTTAATTAAAGTTACGAAGTCTCAGTACTATGATGTTTCCGGAAACCAGACTGAAAATAAGTTAGAGCATCCATTAGAGCCTAATGACAAACTATATATGGAATTGTGCCTATCAAAAGGATAACCAAGGTAACTCTTTATCATTACTCGCAATAAAAATAATAAGGTCATATGCGTGGATCAGGGGTCACCAAACTTGTTTCTGGAGGGCCGGTGTCCTGCAGATTTTAGCTCCAACCCTAATCAAACAAACTTGAACAAGCTGATCAAACTCTTTGGTGTACTTAAAACATCCAGGCAGGTGTGTTGAGGCAAGTTGGAGCTAAACCCTGCAGGGCACCGGACCTCCAAGCGCAAGATTGGTGACCCCAAGTCTAGATCCTATTTTTCAGAGTCACCAAGTTGAGTGTCCACCAGATACACTAGAGGGCACTACACATTACATCTGTCACTGAACCGGGCTACACATCCCATAATGCACCTCACACACCCTAGTACCAGATAACTACTAATTACACACAGCTGTAACTCATGAGGACTGTTTACCAGGACTATAAATACGCTCTCACTCACTCTTTGTCTTGTTTCATGGTAGTGTGCAAATCCCAGTGTTCACTTGTGCCTGTTATGTTTTTTGGTTTGTTTTTCTGGACTCTTGGGTTTTTTGAGTGTTTGCTGTCTGCCATGACCTTTGCCTGTTCTTTGGGTTTCGTTTATTGGATTACCGCTTTTGCTACAGTTTGGCTTCTGGGCCCGGTTTTTCAAAAGTAATCCACTAGGATTTTGGATAAGGGATCTTGAAAATGGGTTTTTCAAAAGAAAAAACGGATTACTTAATCGGATTAGATCACCTAATCTAATCTTGGTTTTGATCCAGATCAAACCTTTACTTTGGGTTTTTCAGACCTTTTTTGTAGGATCTGGATCACTTTGATCCAAAAAACCGTGGATTAAACTGATCCCATCAGAAGGGTGGATTTAGTGTGGATTTCATGCTCAAAATTTAATGAAAACTTTAAAAATGTATTAAATAATTTAATTTTTGGATCTTACGAGATATACTATTTATTCATAAAGTTTTAATTTTATTTGTTCATCTGTCAGGCTATAGTGATTATTGGCTTTAACGTATTCAGCCTTTCAGTATAGGCCTACAGCAAAGTAGAAAGAGTTTGGCCTCATAAAATAACCCCCCAAACAGCTGTCAAAACTGACCAAAGACAATCCATTTTATTCTCTCAATAATTGATTGATTGATATATATATATATATATATATATATATATATATATATCTATATTCATCACAATGGAAAATATTTTTGTTTTTAGAATATGTATTAGTGATGCATGCAATGATTACAGAATAACCAAGAAAATGCAAAGAATGTCAATGACTGATTTTTGAAATCACCTTCAACGATTGCAAAAAGACACTGAAAGAGCAGAAGCACAGCTTCATCTGGCAGAGGAACAACTGACTCTGACCAAACTGCAGCAAACCAAGGCCAGACTTGAGATTCGCCTCCTAAAGGATACGCTCAGCAAGCTGATCTCGCCACATCAGATGAGGAAGTCTGAAATTATTGTGGAGTTTTTGACATTAAGTCTTTTTTATTTACATCTATATTTGAAACTTATTATAAATATCCTCAATGTACAGTGTTTGTGTTGTAGGTCTCAGATGAGCGGACTGCTGGAAGAGGATGGGGTGGGGTTCTTATTGTTTTTAGTTTTTTTTTATTTTTATTTTTTTTAAATGTGTGTGTGTGTTTTCATTTCAAATAAAAATAAAGTTATATTGACCCCACACTGGCTATTCTACTTGTTGCTCTTTACACAGGCCTATCTATCCATCTACATTGTGATTGAGCACTGGTTATCCAGATTTAGTGATCCTGAAAAGTTCCTATCCGGATCAGATTGATCCAATCCAAAGTTGCTTTGAAAAACTGGCTCAAAAAGTAAGCTGGATTACGTGATCACGGATCGCAAAAACAGGATTACTAAATCCGGATTAATTTTATCCAGATTAAACCTTTTGAAAAACCAGGCCCTGGTGTTGACTCTTTGAATAGTGATGGGCAAAGCGAGGCTTCATGTAACAGTGGAAGCAAATGTGTCGAAGCTCCAATTGTTTTAAAACCCATTTCTACAGTGACACCTACTGGTCATTTTAATGTATTGCACAGGAATAGCTTCAGCAAAAAACAATTGAGCAAATTGAGGTATTAAATCCCCCGCTGTAGGATTACTGTATCAGCATCTGCATTTCGGTGCCTAATTTTATGGCCACTAGTTCTGTGACAAAGGCCGTAGGAAATATTAAGCGGTACATCAAAGGCACCCACAGGTACATGTTGTGTCACACCAAAGACTAATTCTTACAGGGACTTTGGTCACACCATCTCTAAACATTTTAACAACTTTGAGGGATACGGATGTTTAGGCATTTGTTATTGTGAGCACGCACGCACACACACACACACACACACACACACAACGCACACATGACAGCACAGGGCCGAATGCACTGTATTTGACAGCTCACGACATCATCTAGGTTTCACTCAGTACATTTACATGGACACCAATACTAAGATTTTAATATAATTAAGATAATTCTCTTATTAAGCCTCTACCATGTAAAGAGACGATTTTTGATTACCTTAAAGGATCACTGATTCGTGAAATGCGAAGGTTTTTCTTTCTTTTTGCCATGTGGTATCAAATTCCTTTAAAACAAAAGTTGGTGGATTAAAAATGAAACATATGAAATTAGATGAAACTCTGGAGAGCCTTGTGATCCCACATTAATTAATACTGAAAATTTCCTTCTAAAAAGTGTTTCTTTGCTCTTATCCATATTTCTTTGCATGTTAAACACACCTCGACCACAACAGGAAATAAAAAAAAACTGCAAACTGCGTTAATTGCATAAATTTTTAATTTACATGTTAAATATTTCAGATTAATCGCATGCGTTAACGTGCTAGTTTTGACAGCACTAGAATAAATAAGTCTTATTTTAGTCATAATAAACACGTTGTTGCTAGAACAGATTGTGGCCGGAAGTTAACGGGAATTATTTATATCATTCATTAAATTTTCCATTTATGTTATTGTATTTTATTAACATCTACTGTACCCCAACCCTAATGCCAAGCATCACAGCACTGTTAAATATATAATTTATTATACAATAATAAATTTGATGCTAATATGATTGCGTATCCACTGCTGTATCCTATCTAGACTACACCATAAAACAGAAACTCGATTAAAATACATAAAATCATGATTTCGGAGTATTTGTACAAGTCGAAATTAAATCTCAAAAGCCACTTACAGCACAGTAACAACGTTCACGTACGGTCCACTAGGCTATATGAGACAGAG